GGGGGGGGGGGGGAGGGGCGGTCTAGGTTTCCATTTATTTGCCCAAGATAGTAGCGCTATACATATTTACTTACAAGGATCATGTTCAAATTAGCAGCAGTTAAGATTACAATAAATAGTAAAGAAAAACTGGAGACTGAACTGTTTTTTCTCAAAGATTTCAACATTCGTGACTGAAACGTCCTTTCAGTTTAAGGTATGATATTTCAGAATCGTTACAGCAAAGATTTTGTACACAAAGCAACAAAAATTACTTTTGGTTAGGCAATAAAATTTACATACAGTCTAGCTCGTTGATCATGAAGCTGGTTCCTTACTGTCCCGGTTCAGATACTGAACTTTTCATGAGCCGAGCCAAATTCGAATTAAGGCCGACCCAGATTATTTAGACCGGCTGAATAGATTCAGAGGCTGATCTTAATTTCAGCCGAACTAAAGTCAAAAGGAGAAAAATGCTCATTTCGGTCAAACTGCTTACAAAATACACTATAAAACTCCCTTGATCATTGGAAGAGGGTCTCAATGGGGTTAACCGATCGGCGCAAAACGGCAAAATTTAGTCGATAGCCGTAAAAATTGAACAATTTTATCTGTTAGCCGTAAATAGGGTAAAAAAAAAAAGTTAACCGTAAAAGAAATTGTTCCCTACATTTGCTACTTTTAAGGAAGGTACTAAACTCACTTATGGTTGCGTTTTTTATTTCGCGGCTAGTGTGGCTCCGTACGCACGTTAGGTAAAGCGCCTTTTAGGTGAAGACCAAGACCCATTTCTATTTCCGCCGCTTTCGGGGAACTAATTTTTTTTTTTCCAGAGCGAAAGTGTGGCTTCTTGCTGGGGATTAATATTTGCGATTTTCAGGAGGTCGTGCCCTCGAAACACTAGTGAAAAAACACGAAGAGATCTCACTGTTTGTAAAACAAGTTGCCGATAAACAACATTTCCCTGTTTTTCTCTGACGCTACGGCAGACATTGCCAGGCCTAGTCCCTGTACGGCGTCTTCCCACGCAATTTCGGTCAAGGCATTGCGGTGGCGAACTCGCTCGGACCACGTGACCCGAAACGCATTAGCCGCGCGAAATAATAAGGCCTACGGAAAAGGCAAAACGGCTGACAGTGGTTCCGTACAGTCCTTCGCTACCATTAAAAACACTGGACACGGGAATTTTGTTATTGGCCGTTTTCACACTAGAGCTAGAAACGGATTATCCGTCTGAGACTAGCCTGTGTACAGTCGCCCCCTTCCCGACAGACACCCCGTCTCCGATTTTTTTTTCTGAGGGGAAGAGGCGGTGGTACAGAGGCTATCTGGAACGGATAATCCCGTCTTCAAACTGTCCGTCGAAGTTGAAGGATAAAGTCAGGCGGATTGTTCATGCAAAATTAAAACTATTCCATTTTCAAATTAAGACGTATTACCTATCTGACGCGAATCATCAAACGGATAACCCGTCTCACACGAATAATCCGTCTTTAGTGCGAAAACGGCCATTTCTGTTGTAATGAATGTCGCGCTCCGGCCTTGAGTGAGGCGTTCGCGTGTGTGCTTTGCTTTTTCACAAAGATTATTTTTAAATTGACTATTGACATTTTTATGTGTAAAATAATATTAGAAGTGGAATACTTTATAAAAAGTATGATCTATCAAATGTTAAATTTTTCAAAAGAATAGCTTATTTCATATCCCGAGATGATCCTAAGACCTTTATTTTACAGGTTAATTAATATTTAACGTTTTGAAACAAAAGAAGTTAATTTTTAATTTTTTAATCGTAACTGGAGTGAAAAAAATTAACCGATAGCCGTAAAAGAGCCAAAATTTTAGCCGATAACCGTAAATGCCACCACCCCATTGAGACCCTCTTGGAATTGTAGATCGAATAAGGATTAATTTTTGTAGGCCGTTAACGAGTTATTGAGCTGTCCCATACTTTCTGCAAAATGCACATTTCGACATATTTTACGTCTGTTTCGTGTATTTTCGCGGCGATCGTTCTGGTATGGATAAATCCTCATCGGCAACATGTCTTTTATACAGTTATGTTGTGAAAGGGGACCCAAGTCCCACATGGCTAAGGAGATATCGGAAAGAGGACGAAGAAGAAGCCGTGAAAAGGGCAATCAAGGAGTGGGAGATTTTCGCTTTATAAACATTCTACAGCGTTTTTCTTTTCTTTTCTTTTTTTTTTTTTCAATTACCGCTTTACTTTGTCATTTTTTAAATACGTTTTTTTACCCACGACATTTACCCACACCCATGACCTCTATCTTGGGAAGTGGGTCACTTGTTTCCGGACAGCCTCTAGGAGGGTTGACTGTTAGTTTGGAAAAACCGGTTCCTCTACTGGCATAATCTAACACAACACCATCCCCGCACTTACAATTCTGGGACGAGATACCTGAAGTTTTAGAAAAACTTTTTTATGAATTTTTTGATCCCGAAACTAAACAACAATTCAACAAATCATCAAAAGAAAAGAGTTACGTTTCTTGATGTCCCTCAAAAGTTTTATAATGAACTGGACAGTTAAAGTGCCAGAAATGGTAGTGGGGGAGTTGGGGGGGAAAGATTGATGAGAGGTACGGATATCGCTCAAAAATGAAGAAGCCAGCGCTTTAAAAACGTTCTTCAGAGGAATCAAATCAGCGTTGTCAAATATTCGTAGACGCTCGTTCACTAGTTTTGTATATATTTAGCCATCTGCTCTTCCATCAACTCAGAATTAATATACTTGATGAACATTTTTCCTTAGAAACTAATCCACGATGGTCGGTTGCTAAGGCTTTTCCTCCCGCAACTTCGTAAATTCAATTTTTGGCTCACAGAGCAGTATTTTATATTCCAAATGAAGCAAGACATTAAAACATCTTAATTAGAGAAAAATTTTCTTCAAATTTTTACCATTGTAAAGGTATTTTGACGTTTCTTGAAAGTATGACGTCATAAGTGACACCTTTTTTTAGTAACAACATTAAAAACTTGCAAAGCAGTGTTCAAAACATTACAGACATTTTTGCTACACAAAAAGAATATGTATAGTGAAAACCCCACCTCAATCGGATAAAATGGCGTAAAGTTACAGCTAGTAAAAGAAATCAAATTTCCCCCCACATGACCATATATGGTCAAAATTAGGGGGATTTTAAACGCGAGAACAATGAATGTATTGTAACAGGAGCAAGGAAAAAGTTGCATAAAATCGAAATTGTAGTTTTTTTCTACTTACTTTTTTTTACTTACTTACGCGATTACGTCACGAAATACGTCATTGTGACGTCAAAATGACGTATTTCGAGACGAAAAACGTGTCATAGTACCACATACCCTAAGTAGAAAAAACTACAATTTTGATTTTAAGCAACTTTGTCCTTGCTCCTGTTCCAATACATTCAATGTTCTCGCGTTTAAAATACCCCTAATTTTGACCATATATGGTCATTTGGGGGAAATTTGAATTTCTTTAATTAGCTGTAACTTTACTCCTTTTTATCCGATTGAGATGGGGTTTTCACTAGAAATCATAGAATTCTATACAGAAAACTAAAGTAAAATTTTTACTATTTCTTTCCTGAATTTTTGTTCGGATGCCAAATTTGGACATCATTTATGACGTCACAACAGAAGTCACATGGGATGAAAGAAAAACCAATAAACAGGTAATTTATCAAACTACTTCCCTGCCAAGTTTCGTCACATTCGATGCATTCTACTTCTGTCTATGGTCTAATACTCTCAGTTTTGAGAGGCATTGGGAGGAAAAGCCCTAGCAACCGACCACCGTGATCCCTTCATTCACATTTTTTCGAGTTTTTTTTTTTGTTTAGCTCCTTAAATGATCATAAATACTGGAGTAAGTAACGAAGCTTGCAACATTTGATCGGATGATACTGCGGCCAGTAAGAGATTTCTCTCCAAATGCAATGAAGTCTGAATGTGGCCACAGTCTCCGGATTCTCTACCTAGGAATAACACGCACTCGCGTTGAGATATGTAAAGTTTGTGGAACTCAAACTTAATTCACCATTTTCACACAGACCATAATGCATCTTGTTTACCCCCCAAAACCTTGCATGACCATCGTCTGCGATTTCTCTTCGGATTATACCCAAGAGAAATTGAAAACAATGGTTATGCAAAATTTGGGGGGGCGGGGGGCGGGTAGGGGGTAAACAAGGTGCATTATGGTCTATGTGAAAGTACTGAATCAGTTGAAAAGATATTAAAATTCAGTTTGCACTAGCTTCCGATATAGTGTTATAGACAGTTGTTAGGTTGATCAGGTAGGGCCATATGAAACATATTGCACCATTTTCATGTTTTCTTTCCTAACTGGTTTGCAGAGGAATGGTCGAGTTGGAGCACTTGTTCCAAGTCATGCAATGAAGGAATTGAAATGAGAAACAGAACTTGTGAGCACTGTAACACAACTTTGCCAACACAAAGCTGCAAGAATCAACCATGTCCGGGTACGTAGACGTTACAGGGCTTCTAAACATGGCTTGCGCTGGTCAGCGAAACAATTCACCTTAACGATTAACAAATAAATGGCCTTAAGCAAAGGCGTTTTGAGTGACGAAGGTCAACCGTAAGTGGCGTTATGCATAATTGGGCAGTCGTTTTACCCAAATTTCGGGCACTGAATCGTAGCTATAAGAGTGAAGACACTTATTAATATAAATTTGGTGGCGTCAAGACTTTTAAAAAGGAAAACGCCTCACTACCAGTTGACGCGCGCCCCTTAAAACGCTCTTACCCGTAATTTTCTTGGTCTCTCTAGATCTATTTCTACCAATGCAAGCTACAACACCATAAACCAGCTAGCTAGTCAGTCAGACCAACAGCCATTTTAGTCATGTGAAGTGACAGTTACCGATATCATCACTCAGTGGCAGCGACGTCTGCAGTTGATAAAACCCGGTACTTTATGGTCTGATCAGTATTGCGCCCACGATCAACCTTCCTGTAGACTGGCGTTGTAAAGGGCAACTTTGATTCGCTCACCCATTTTCTTGTCCTGTCTCTTCCTTGGATGTTGTTAATGTCAGGACGCTTCTCTTGTGTATTTTCTTCCTTTACAGATATTCAAACTCAGATTATTGTGATCGTCGTAGTCACAGTTGTATTCATCTCCATCTTAACAGCCGTTGTTGTGGCTATCTTTTTTGTCAAAGGAACACATTCCGGAAAACCGAGAGCCAGGTTAGTTCGCATCAAGTTCGAACAAATACCACTTAACTGATGCGGTGGGAGATAAGCTACTTTTTATTCTAAATAACTGGGCCAGGGGTGAATACAGTTTTGGAATCGAATTCTGTTTTGAAACATTTGAGAATTAATCACGGCCCCAAAGTTTTGGTGCTGGTGGTGGTGGTAAAAAAGAGCATTATGATACATGCTTGTCAACTGCAATGGAAGTCACAAGTACTAATGAGACATACATTTGATGTAAAGGAAGACTGGCGCGAAACACTTTTGCGGCTATTCAAGAGTTAATAAATATTGACTCCCTCCCCTCCCCTCCCTTCCTCTCCCTCACGCAACCATGGTGCTAAAGATGAACCCTTATCAAAACTGGGGAAATTGGGTTTTTGAGAGTTTGTTCTTTGTGAACGATCATTAGGCTAACAAACCCTGCGTTGACACCGGCCTTTTTCTCAAATCTAATCGTCAGCTCTTTTCAATGAGGAACTACTAGTACCGTTTTCTGTTTCCCAAACTGAAAATGTTTGTGGGTACAAGGTTGAATAAGACACAAAAAACCAAACAACGTACAACACAAAAAAACTTAAGATGGCGGGCAAGTGGCCGTTCAGAGTAAAGAGAAAACAAGAGTGACTGTATTCGTCGAGACAAATTAAAACGAAATCTGCAAGGCGTCTAAACTTGTCAACGTCTATGGAAAACTAATGTGCAAACGTCTTTATAAATATTTTGCGCTGCGTTTTTCACTGATTGTCTCCCTTTTCTCTGACAGCTCTGTCGACTCAAGCAGGAGACTACGAACCATGACTCTCAAAAAGGTTCCAGGGGGAATCAACGTAGAACACAGAGGGTTTCTATTACAGCGCTTGATAGAGAGCAGAGGTTCACTTCAGACTAGTAAAACTACGTTGAAGGACTATGGAGAATCTAAACTATGATCCACCTTGCAGTTGGCAGTGATAAGCTAAGGTCACCCAACAGTAGAGAACTGAGGAAGATTTCTAATAGCCCACGTTCGATATATTAAAGTTCTAACATGACTCCGAGGCTTTCTGGTCATTTTTCCATATTTGGTTTGGTTTTCTTTGTGCTCAAGTCTCTTCTGGGAACTGCGAGACAATGGAGTTGTGTGAGAAATTTGTAATCTTGACCCTAAAGCCTCGGAGTAGGAGTCATGTTAGAATTTTAATATATCGAACGTGGGCTATTATGAATTTCTTTAATCCCGCTACTTAGTACCCGGACGATGAAGGGACATAGTTGTGGGTCTGCATTTCTGCCTGTGTCCTAGCCCCTCACTCAGAGGTTCCTAGGGCTTCGTAAAGCGTTCCTTTCCCACGAACTTTCCTTGGGAAGGAACGCCTGATGAAGCCCATAGAACCTCTGCGTGGGACCCACGTTTCCCAGCCGCAAACACAACCATTCAATTTGTAATTTATTTTTCATGTTATATCATTTAATGCTTTCTAAAAAAATTGGGGGGGGGGGGTTAATTATCGGTTCAGGGATTTCTTGGAGGTTTTGATTTTTGCCCCCATTCGATCATCACCGTCGCTTGAAATCTGGAGTACCCCAATGGCTACCCATGTCCATGATTGAAAGCAGATGCATGCTTTGTGGCAATAATTTCGTGAAAATTTTGAAGTTTATTAAGCTAGGGATTGTGGGTTAAAGCCCTCTGCGAATTTTACAGGATTTCAGTGGCTCAAAGCGATGCTGCGGATAAAGTCAGCGAAAATAGCACTAATTTACAAATTGAAAGAGTTTTTGTTAACACTGGTGTCTTTGAATAAAATGTGTCTCTTACTTTGTGAAAAAAAAAATTAAATTAAAAAATGTGATTGTTACACGCGTAATGTGTGCTGAAATGCTTGGAAATAGCGGCGTGCGAGCGACCTACACGCAAAGTAGTTGTTCAAACCCTGGGGCCCTGGGTACTAGTTATTCACACTTTCAGTCCCAGTCTTGCCGGCGGACGCTTGACTGATTTCAACATCTGTAATAGACCTATTCGGCTAACTCAATGTTGTACCCAATTCAAACCCTTTGGGAATAAAACGTTTAGTTTCAGGAATTTCCATATCATTTAAATGTGAATGCCACATTATAATGCAAATACAATACACAAAGAATCTTATCCCCGGGAGATTTGAATTGGGTACAACATTGAGTTAGCCGAATAGGTCTATGTCAAGCAAACAATTTCCTTCGCAAAAGTGCGGGTGTTAGAATATCTTTAAAGGATTGTAATGCAAGATGTTTCTAATGGTGTCCATTATGACTTGGAAATACCCTCAAAGTGTACTGGAATTCGACCACATGGTGAAGACTTGACTTTCGTTCCAATCGCCGTCCTGCCAACTGCTAATTCAAAAGAAGGTGAAAGAGAGCACTGAGTCGCATCCTCTGCTGCATATTTTACTATCTTCCTCACTTTTTGGAGTGATCGTTTGTTACGGCTGCAAATTGAGTAATTGCGGCAGTGCAGAACCGATACATATAAGAGATGAATTTTGTACTTTCAGTAGCCAGTTATGTTCGCTAAAAATGTACAGGACGTTCGACGCAACTCAAAGACGTTTTACTGCGCTTCTCAAACACACGCGAACTCTGAAGTTCAAAAGCCAACTGACGTTTGCGTTTTTCGCTGCAGTCTATCCTCTTGGCGGACCTCTTAGGAAACACAACTTTACTTAAATGGGCTCAAAAGGTCATGGTTTGTGATCTGTGATTGGTGGATTTCGATCCGTTTTGTGCGTTTCTGTGTTTCAAGGTTCGTTGCTTGTGATTCCATTGTAAAACACTTCCACCGGTTTCTTAAAGTGGCGAATTAAAGACCTTTCTTATTTTCCCTTCGTTTAAAAATTCTCAGTTTAAGGCAAATTCGATGCTTCTTGGGCTGATAGTTTAAAGCAACTACAAAACCTTGGCAAAATACACTCATGGGGGGTTGGGTTTAGCTACGAGTCAAACCTTGAGTTTATTTTATATCAAATGTTTAGCGCCCATGTCTAAAAAGGGTAGCAATTCGAAACATATCACAGCTGAAAGCTGAGCGCAAATTGAGTACATGTCTATGAAACATTTATTTAATAATAAGGCCAAACTCAATTAACTCGTGAAGAACTATATAACGATACATTAATTATCCAAACATAGTTTGTTATTACTTTTATTACTTGAGCACAGGACACCTGCGTCTTCTCCATGATCACAGTCTTCTGTTCCCCAACCGTTGTGAGGACATTCTGTTAATGATCTTTCGTTTCCAGTACACGTTACGTCGTCCATCCATATTTTTCCATTTCCAGGTCCAAAAGCAGCCCACTTGAATGCCACTATAGCTCTTCCAAATCCAAGTTGGCGACAAACTACTGTGGCGTCATTAAGGTCCCAGTTGTCATCACACACTGTTCCCCAGGTTCCATTGTAAAACACTTCCACTCGGCCTTCTGAGATGGATCCACCATTGACCAAACGAACGACTGCGAAATGACCAATTGACTTTACACGATTTGTTGCCATTTTAGAAACGAGAAGGGAACTGGAGCCAAAATTTGTCTCGCAATTGTTTCTGATATCGTTACCAGGGACGCGCAGTCAGCTATTGGCCAATTGTTTGCCCTGTCCGTAGTAACAGTCCCAAAAGTCTTTGCGAAACTTAACTCAGTCCCGGCAGTTCCATTCTGGTTTCTTAAGTGGCGAATTAAGGAGCTTCCTTATTTTCCCTTCGTGTAAAAATTCTCAGTCTAAGGCAAATTCGATTCTTCTTGGGCTGATATCATTTAAAGTAAGTCTAACTTAAACTAAAAGACCACTGTTTTTGAAAATCAGTGGACCGCGAGATTAATAATAATAATGTCTGTAAGCGGGTTCAATTTTGAATACATTCTGGGCAGTCTAAAGCTTCATGACATAAAAGCACCGCTGACATATATATTTTTGATTTATAACCAGTTTTTAGTTTAGCCATCGAAAAACTTTATTCATAAGTTTGAAAGGCTGCTAGCTATAGGTGATGAATTGTATTTTGACTTAGTGCAATATATAAAATCAGCTCATCCTCGATTAACATAAGTTCAAATTAAACCACTTTTTGGTGGCGCGAAGCATGAAATAAGCCGGCAATAATAAAGCAAGTCAATTTCTGGTCTTTGTTTCAAACTTTCTACTTCTCAAATGTCTGGAATGAGCACTTCCGTGAAAAATCTATATGTTCTATACTACTGAACTTAATACATACCATTGTTGCTCCCTTCAACATAACGAAACGTTAAACCTGAAAAAAACAAAAAGATCCACAAGATTAGCTCTGGACTGGCAGACCACTGCACGTCAGAGGGGATGGTCGCGGGTTCGATTCCCGGGGCCTGAGAGTTACGGATGTACTGTCTTTGCTCTGCAAAAGGCGTGGCTATACTTTTGCATGGTTCGGGTGGCTTAGTATAGTAGAAATAGCGGTATTTTCTCCACTGGAAGGGCTAAAAACAGAGTCCTCAATTCAATCAATCTCTTCATGGTAACATTGACGCTTGAACTAGGACTTGGAACACTTTCTGATAAATATAATTTATATAGCATTTCAGTGGTGTTTAGCAAGAAAAAGCAAACACCTTTAACCTGAAAATAGAAGTAAAATGATCGAGAAGATGATTTTCTCGCGAATTTTGTATTTTCTGTGCATCGCTCTTGTTCTATGGCCGCGGTCACTGCCCACTCAGCGTTACAGCTGGATGCAATTAAACACTGAGAAACAGTAAACTTGAACTTTGTTCAAATACCTTAAGGAGTTTCAGTATAGGTTAACTTTTTGTTAAAAAAGATGTTTCGCTTAACCAAACGAAATAAAAGGCCAACGCGCGTGGATTGTAGGATAGAGAAAATGAAAAAACTGTCACTGAAGGTACAAGAAAGTACCTGATGATCACATGAATGCACGTGTTTGTTTTTATATAATCCGTCTGCGTTCCTAGAACTCAGCGAGCGTATTAGCGCCGAACCTGCAGAAAGGCTGTCGTTAAGGCCGGCGACAAACTAAACATTACGGTTTCATAATGCATGGTGATCTATATACAGTATATACCAGTACTGTAGGGTGCATCAGTGTCCAAAGTATTCAGTCCCAAGGGAAATCAAATCAAATCCAACAAAATTTTGTCGATTTTTATCAGATATCTTGCACAGAATTGGTAATGAAATTGATGAATTCACAGAATTTTCTGTAAATTCACATTTGTTGAAATTTTTTTTATTATGTAATGACTTACGTAATAATTTGTTATCAAATCAAACTGATGACACTTGATTGACTATTGTAATCATTGCATTGTATCATCTTTAGTATATTAAGTTGTTTTCTATCTTGAAGCTTTTGCGATACTGTAACTCATATAGTCATGCAAGTAAAGCCTATGTTGTTGTTGTTGTTGCTTTACAAAAGCGAAATATTTAACCGCCGCACGTGGCATCTTTTCTTTGTCTTACTATAACCCATATTTAGAAAAGCTATACATTCGGCCAGTGTCAATTCTACTGATGCCCTTGATGTTGATTTTCAAAAAGAAACAGTGATATAGAAAATGGAAGGTTAAAATGGGTAAATGGCGCAACGGAACGACTATGTTGTCACCATAAACGATAATATATTCCCCTCGAATTTTTCAAATTCAATTTTTGTTTAACAAGGTTGATTTTCCCATACTGAAAATGCGGTAAAAAGAAGTCTTGTTATCTGTATTTTTGCTCGCGCCCTGTGAGGGGTACTCCGTGTGCGACCTATACGGGGATCCGAAGCTTGCAAGAAAAAGGCACCTTTTTCTGGCTTCAGGCATATAAAAAGGGTATGGGTTTCACGAGTTGAAGGATATGATTATGAATTGGTAAGGAAATCTGTCATTTCGTCTTTAAAAGAAGTTAAATTTTAAGGGAATATCAGACCAGCCGTGTTTTATGGCTGTGAAAGGAGACAGTGCATTTTCTCCAGCTAAAACCAGGGATGTAGCTTTATAAGTCTAGGTATTTGAAGGGATTACGATTTCGATAAGAGGCAAACGAAAGAAGTACCTTTTATTTCAAAAATGGCATATAAAAGGATTAAGGGCTGGACTTCGGGCAGGAAAGGGCCCCCCGTATAAGACTTTATGCTCCATGTTCCTTTAGATAGTATTATTGAGTCAGTTATTGCTGTCGGTGGAGTCTTGCTTTGGGTGAGCTCTGTTTGCTGGGATACCCAATAATGACAATTCCAGTTTGGGATAAATTTGGCCACAAGAGTGGCCGTTTATTTCATTTAAGCATATCAAGCTAGGAAAGTCCAGATACACAAGAAGATTTATCCCAGCAAAGGTGAGGGCAAACCCGCCATCCGGGAGATGGTTGTTGCAGTGAGCAGAGAGGCCTTGTGCCTCGCTTTCATGTCTTAAAAACACAATATATAATGTCCCGGATGGCAGGAACGCCCCCTCCCCAGTAACTGGAGAAATGACACATTAATCAGTCACATTAAGCATAAAACCATTTATTTCTTTCAGACATAAATTTCCTTTATTGAGTGCCCTCCTCGGGGCTCCCGCGTTTTTCTGATTTATTTTGCCATTCTCTCTTGATTTTTTCATTGAATCCTGGTCGTTACCAAATCTGAGCAATCATACCACGAAACAGCGTTTAACCCTCAGCTTTTAAGGGGAGCGCAATTCAATTGATTTTTACTGCAATTGCACCTACGGCTACCCTTCCTAAACACAGAAACCCTGATCTAATATACGAATGACTTCCTATTTCTTTATCCAAACTCACGGCGCTTTCCAAAATTCAGAACTGGCCCCGGCCGAACTCAGTGGCCGGACCACACATTTTGGCAATGAAATAGCTTTATTCCAAGAGGTTTGGTTGAAAAACCATCTCCTTTGTGCATAACATTTAGGATTTCATCGATCTGAGCTGGATGACTAAGTTTTGATTAAAAGTGAAATTTTCATTGCGATGGGAATAGGCTGGCTGATCAGTTCTGACAAGTGGAAATCGCCTTCAGTATCATTGACCGTTTCAACGCTAAACAGATTTAGTATATACTAAAACAGTGCGGGATAGTGTTTTTCGCGCACTCTGATTGGCTACTCAACCTTCGGATATCCATGCATGCAGTGCTATTCACTGATTCACCTCCAGTTCCTCCAAGCGAGCGACGCCAAACTCGCGCAAGTCACGAACAAAATGGCTTGCCGCGGTTTGCTGCCGTAGCAAACAAAGTAATTTCACAAAGAATCAAATAATTCAAACTGATGCCGAAATACACGAAGGTGACGAAATTCGGTTTGGAAGTAGCCCGCGTAGTAGGCCCAAGAAAGAACGGGCGCGCGAGAGGGAGAAAAAAACCGGTAAAAAAGTTTTTGTTTAAAAATACAAATTAAGTCTTGCGTTACTTTATTTAGCTGACATGTTCATAAATAAGCTTAACGGTAGACAGAGTAGATTAAACAGTTTTTTTTGTACAGAATCGTTTTAAATACAAAAAGAATTCTTTGAAGAAATTTCCCCGCAAGTGCTAAACAAATGCCTTAAACAATTTTATTTGTCGAACAAGAAGACGCGACCGCCGCCGGTTCGGTCAGTGCGCCAAAATTGTAATCGTTGGCAACAGTAAATGAGTTAAAGTCATCATTTTTGTGCTCAATTATCTCACTATTTTAATATAATTATACTAAAACAATCATTTGCCTTAGTGTGGGTGGCTAGCGGGTTAGTAAACTCGACCCTTTAGATTTCAGGAAAACTAATGAGATGAAATTTAACTGTTAAGTTAAGATAGTGGTTCATATTTACTGCTTATTTTAAGCCACCAATAAAATACTAGTTGTCCTTTCGCGCGAAAACATGGTATGTTCACACATGAAAATAGAATATTATGATCACAAGCGAAAAGATCACCGTTGCTATGGTTGCATAATAAATCACATAATGGGTTTTATTATATAGTAAATATCGAACATTACATCGCCGCTTGGAGAACAGAGATACGAAATTTCTCCTCTCGTCTCGTGTCGAAAAATTTTCACCCGATGTGCTTATTACTCGTTAACAACGGTTAAGAAACACTCGAACTGGAGAAATTTCGTTTTTTTTTTCGTTTCTCCAGGCAGCCTGGTAATATCTTCTGTTTATAAACTCGATCCTTGAAAAAGTGCAAAAAACCAATCATTTCTCTCATTCAGTCTGCTTCTATGGTAGGGACTGGTACAGGTTTGTTTCCAGTTGAGAATAAACCGATGCATAAACTTCACGAGAGGCCTGCAAATAACAAAAGACCTGTTACAATACGTTTACCTTACTCAAATAAGTGACAAATAATCTAAATTAAAAACTATTGGGAGTGAACAAAGTTTGTAAGCCTTACAAAAGGGTGACATGCTTGGCGTAAGAGACTGTAAAGTTCTAATTCTGTGGATTTAGCTCCAATGACTTGGGGACCACTATTTCTCATATCATGTCTACGAGGGGCGTTCGGATAGAGAATCCAGTCTCCTAATATTCACTACTTTTTAAGATCCAAAGCCCTTCGAATGATTCACGGCTGAGTGCAACCGAAATTATTTTACGAAACTATTTACCTGTCCTATCTCCTCATAATCTTCATGCTCCTTTTTCTCTTTTTGGCTCACATAATGATTTCTATTCTCATTATAGATGTTCGTGCGCTGTAGCCCTTGATAACGATTTTTCTTTTTTTCCATATAAGTGATGCCAGAGCCTCCAACTCACAATCCCCGTGCCCACGAGTGATACAAAAAGTAAAACGCCCAAGACAATCTCCGTGACAGTGATTGGACGGACAGGAATATGTACCTTTTTGCTACCTGAGAAAACAAAGGGTTTAGAAACTTTGACCATGTGTACAACAGCATAATCTTAACTTAATTCTTATTGGCATAAAGCAAGTAAAAACAAAGTACAAATGACACTGGTACGTATATTAGTTAATGCTTAGCCCGAGAAAACGGCCGACATTTAGCGACGCTACAACTGGATTCCCCGCCAAATGACGTCTGAGGAACGAGCGCAGAAATTCCACCCAGATCTGGGTAGTCTGGGTCGTCAGTGTAGTGCTTCTGATTGGTTGAATCAAATTTCCCACGCGGCACGACCAATCAGAAGCACTACCCAGATCTGGGTAGTGACGCGTCATCAGTATGGAATCTCTACGCTCGTTTCTCAGACGTCATTTGTTAGGGAAACCAGTGATACCGTCGCCAAATGTCGACTGTTTTCTCGGGGTAAGTAATGCTGGGAAAAGTTTCTTCAAACAGAATTAATGTCACACTCGTCACACCAGGTCTTATTTCCTTCTCTGTTCTACGTGTAACTTCCATGATGAGGAGAACGGAGAAAATGATTTATACCTGAACCAAGACGCTTAGGAGCCCTGACTTCAATGTGCCCATCCCAGGCTCCATTATGCCCATTCCAAACAGAGCTGAACTTTTCACAGGAACCAGAAATTATATACTTACTTTACTTGATCAAACATACCTTTTAACGCTTTTGTTTCCGCTTTTGGTGAATAAGTGGGCAGGCCTTTTTCAGGATCTGAAAAAAGAAATGATTTTAATTACTTCACGTCAGTTTTGTCTGGCACGACCAAGTTCATTAGCTCCACCTAAAAGGCCGACTAAATTGGTTAACCGAGAGTAATCACTGTAGAGTTAAGAAACGGACATAAGATTTCAAAGAAATTA